CCAGCCTTGTTGTAACTGAACGAGGTGGGGCTTCTTTGACTTTCTTCCTTCCCACCACACCTAATGCTTCATTTTGTTCCTTTTCAATCAAAGCAACTTTTCTTTGTAACTCTCCACAAACTGATTTCCAATACTCCTTAGTGAGATCTTCCAAAAGAATATCTTCTCCTTCCGATACAATTCCCTCGCATTCCACCTGTTCAATATATTCATCAACCACCATTTCTCCATCTTCAAATGATATAAGTTTTGTGACATCTGTAGTAATTTTGATCTCCTCATTTAGAATATCACCCACTGCCTCTGACTCTGCCGTCCCATTTTGAATGTCATCATCCTCTTTGACTTTCTTCGGAGTTGATTTTTCCTTGACCTCCTCTTCATTTTCAACCTCAGAGGCCAATTTGGATTGCTCCACTCCTTCTTCCCGTTGCTCGCCCCCCACGTTGACAATATCGAGAGTTTGCTGTCCCTCTTGGATACTCTTCACTTCATTTGCCTTCGAAGACTCGGGTGCTTCCGGAGCTAAAACTTTCTCTTTTCCTATATTTTTACGTGAGACCATGTTGACTGGGTCTTTCCTTAATGGTGGTCGAGTATCCAGTTGGTTTATTCCACCCCCTCCCAAACGTTGCTTTGGCATCCCACATTCTTCATTGCTATGACCAATCCGCTTACACTTCACACAATATTTCGGAAGATCCTCATACGAAACCGGTTGAATTATCTCCTTATTCCCTTGCATAATCATAACCCTTGACGGGATATCTTGCAATAAATCAAGTTCAACACACACCTTTGCTGTAGAAGGCCTCGAAAAAGCAGCAGTTGCTGCATCCACCTTTAATGGTTTACCCACCATTCCGGCAATAGAGAATAACGCTCTTTTATCATGAAGGTGTAGTGGAAGCCCATCAAAAGTTATCCAAACCGGGACTATAGAGGACTCCACATCTGGTCGGAAGTCTGGAGTCCACCGAGAAATTCTCATTCTGAAGCCACGAATAATCCACGTTTGCTTTAGCCAACAACGTTGGAAATCCTCCTCCGAACCAAACTTTAGCAAAATATGCCTCTGATCGAGCAAACCTAGCGATAATGAGCCAGCAAACCCAATTTTTTCGAATTCTTGACGAAGCGTTGCCATGGATGGCCTTCCTCTGACAAACGAACCCACCAACGCAAATTTATGTTGCTCTGCCAGGGCTGAAACTTCTTCCTTCGAGAACTGTACTGCTGGCATGCCCTTTTGACGAAATGGCACCTTGATTGGTACTCCTTGTTTGCTGCCAATACCTCCGCAAAAGAACGGACTGTTGTCCCTGACCCCCCCGCCGGGGAGGCCCATGCTGTTGCTGCGACCATCAACAAACCACCGGAGCTCTCACACTAGGATTTCCTTCAACTATTATAATAATGACATTTTTAGTCCAATATTTATTATGTCAAAATCATAGTGGAAAGACTAAAAATATCAATTTGATAATACTCAGGTGACTATGTTTAATAGAACCAACTAAGTCTTAATTTGGGAATAAAACACATGTAGTCCCATTTATACATTTTGTCTGTGTTAGTCCTATTTGAAGCAATTTCTATTTTAGACCCAAGTTATTCTTTTTTTTTATTTTGATATATGTTACTACGTATATCAAAGAATACTTAAGTTATTCTTTTTTTTTTTATTTTAGATTCAATTTCTATTTTGAAGCAATTTCTCGGGTTTGTGAGTGTATTTTAATTTTTTAGACATGCTAGTTCGATTTTTTTCTGGGTTCAACCCGACCCAGCCCGAACCCAACCCAAACCCGAGGCTCTTAAAACCCAGACCAGCCCGAAATTATTGATCCCAAAACCCGACCCACCCACTCCTAATTATAAGATATTAGTGCAAAACATAAATTACTAATAGTAATGACATTATAACAAATTAACAATTACCCAATATTCTTTCAAAAAAAAAACAATTACCCATTATTATTAAGTTAAAACTTAAAAACTTTAAAAAAGTGCATACAATGATTAATGAGTCGGTCTAATCTTACGTATTTCTTAGGCCTAGCAATAATGAGAAATACTGAATCTCAAATTCTCAAACCCCATATTCGCAAACCGCAATATACAGCCAGTTGGTGAAAATCAGAAGCACCCTATGATATCTGGTTCCTCCATTGGTGTGCTCTAAGGAGGCTTCAATATATCAATCTTTGCAAGAGGGGATGTAAGCACTTCCATGCCTTCATAGATCCATGGACTCCCCAATAGAAGATTATACAAAGACTTTGCCTCAATAACATGGCATAAAGTATTTTCTTACAATCCGTCGATGATCAAGTCAGCACTTATCATCCCAATCGGTCTTTTCCCCTCTTGATTGAAGCCTTGAATCATCAAATGGCTTTGGGAGAGTTCATCAATTGATATTCCAAGATGTTAACAACGGACATTTGGTCAATCATTATTCTTTTAAGCCTTTATGCACGAGTATATCCCTCCACATAAAGTGGGCGATCATGGGGTGTTGCACCCAACATAAGATCTTCGTCTTTCATGACAATATCAGTGGTTGTTGAGGTAGATTTATGTGTTTGTACTTCTTCTTTCGTAGCCGAAGCTGGTGATGAACAATTGTTTGAGATCTCATCTTCTTTCTCATGGGTGCTAAGGCAAGAACTCAAGATTTGATTTATCTTGTTCTTGAAATCCATTCTCATATAATCATCAAGACTAATTGGTCTTCACACAACCTTAGGATGAACAATACTTTTTCTTTCCTTCTTTGGCGTGAGCTTGTTTAGCTCCCTTATCTTAATCCATTTCATCATATTCTTCTCCAAGGATGAAATCAATTTGTGGTTATTACCCTTGTTTATCCCGAGATACTAAGATCCATGACCCTTTGCCATTATCTTCTTTGATTGTCACGCTTTTGTTGAAACAAGAGCTTTTTCCCATTCCTCCTTTAATAGTAAAAGGAAGTTTGCAGTTGTGAGAGCCGTTATTTTGTTCTTTCAAGTAATCTTTGACCAAGAGTGGTGATAGGGTTATGGGACTAGCTAGGTCCAAAGCGTAATCGACCCAGGCTCCGAACTTGGACTCGTGAGTCCAAGCCATGACATGGACCAACTGGCCCATGCCCGAGTCCATTGTGTCACTAGGCCAGCACGACCAGTGGGCCCAACAACTCAGATCCTGCCTTCTGGTCCAGCGGGGAGTCATCCTTTTAGCCATCCGGGAGTCTGTTATCTACCATCTAGGACAACCTACCAGCCCGGAAGAGTAACGGCTAAGGACAATCTGCCATGCACAGATTAATTGTGTATTTAATTCTGTATTAATGTTGTAATTAATTATTCATTATTATTGATAACAGTTACCATTTGTAAACTCCTACAAAAGGCTAGTCAAATTCCAAATGATAAGAGTTATTTCTGGCAACTAAATTCTCTAAGTACTTTCCATTTTTGCATTGATTTCTTGATTCTTGCTTAAGTGCCTTTCGAAGCTTTCCTAAAAGCCTATGAGCGTCTATTTTTTGACAAACATTGATGCTTTCATTGATAGATCTGAGTTTTAATCAAGTGAGAAACCTCCCAAAAATATCAAAAAACATACCAATCACACAGTAATCAAAAAAATCAATCTGAAACTTGAAAAAAAAAAGATCGGACATCCACATCAGGGACGTCCCGGACCTGATCGGAGATATCGTCGCTGCTCGAGCAGCCTTACATGCCACTGCGGAAGCTGGCCGCCTACAAAAGCTCGTTGACCAGAGATATTATCGTTGTTATGGCCGTCGTCACGCGCCACAACGGATGTTGACCGCCTGTTGAAGCTCTCTGTCCGAGCCCACACGCCATCTCCAGCAAATAGAAGAAACTGAAAGGAGCTATCAAGATCTGTTCCGGTCAGGGGTGAAGTGGATATCGACGTTACCTCTAACTCCCTGGCCCGCCTGAAGTCTGAGACCCAAAGAATACACTGCGAGCTTCGCCACATGCGCTACCTTGGAGGCCGCTCCTAGTATGGGCTCCACAGTCTCCGACACAGCTCTGTAGCCTCACTCCTGGTTGCTCCGTCATCGCCCTGCACCAACGCCTCTCGATGGTGGCAGTTCGTGAGGAAGTAGGGCCAAAGATGGATCCATTGAAACACAAAGCCATGACTACCGCACCCATTTGTTCGTTTATCCGTTTACATCAGGTAGATGGAGGCTAGGTCAAATGCGTACAACTACTCTACAAAGCAGTTATGGAGATATCGTGTATGAGTCCCACTAGCACCAGTGGTACTATGCTCCCCCAAAAAACCCTTCAAGTGGTAGGGCCAAGCGGTGTATACTAACCCGTAGGGCCAAGCCAAAGTTGGGTTTCTGGGGTAAGGGACCGTGAAAGCGGTGAAGCTAGTCACTATAAAAAGTTTACCCATACCTTAGTTTTCACCAGAAACATCTGACTTAGTTCGCGTAGGGAAGACTCTGGCTTCTCACTGGAAAACTTTCGCACCTTAACGGTTAGAAAATTTTCTTGGCCGCACGAACTTTCAGGCTCTTGGCTCCTAATCTGCTCGTTTACACAAAGATTTCCAGCTGTTTCCTTGTTCGTAACCCTATAATCTACCTTATCTACCTTTGATTCGAACAGATTTGGGATAACAGAGCAAGAAACGAACGACTTTCCAAAAATAAATTCGCAGAGTTACTGTTCATTTAGTGACTTTCTTCTTCGAGCTTGGATTTGGTTTCGGACGATTGTCTGTGGAAAAGGAAGGGTGTTTGGGGGTCTCCACCTCCGGGCGGACCTCCCAGACCGTTTTCTGACCTCCCTACTCGCCGCCGTACTCGAGTTTTGAGGAAGGAGCTGCGACGGGGTACTGTTCACCAGTGGCGGATCTAGGCATCGGAGCTCAATGTATGCACATAAATAATACTCATAGTATATTACATGAATTAAAAAAAGGCTAAATAAAAGATACAGATATAGTAAAAGAAAAAGTACCTTTTATAGTTGTCCTCGGCGTGCTTGCATATTTTGAAAGTGCTGAATAATTAACTCATCATCAATGCTATCAAACACATCACTTTCTATATAAGGAACTAAACAGTCATTCATCCACTCATCTCCCATCCGATTTCGCAACTCGGTCTTCACAATTTTCATAGCTGAAAAGGCTCTTTCAACCTTGGCGGTAGCAACAGGTAATGTCAATGCCAACTTTAGAAGTAAATAAACTAACTGATAAACACGATGTTTTCCCGTCTTCACCAACATCTCCGCAAGGCAAGCAATTCCTTTCAAGTCTGAAAATTCATCATTACTATGCATATCAATAATATAAGTCTCCAACTGATTTTCAAGAACTACCAGCTCCAAATTTGAGAAATCACTTGGATAAAATGTAGCAAACTCAATCAACTTGAGCTTGTCAAATGCTTCAAAGGACTTGTCTGGACTCAAGCTGCTCAAACAAAGAAGCAGCTTAGTGTTGGACTCACTAAAACGATAATTAAGTTCTTGAAGCTGCATATCCACAATTGTATAAAATAAGTCATACTGATAATGCTCCCAATATTTTATATCCTTAGCTTTGCGCCGTGACCTGCCTTTTGGTATAAATTTATCTTCCATATTAGGAATGTCGAGATCATGAACTCTACAAAATGCAGACACTTCCTCCAATAATGGATCCCATCCATTATCCCTCATATCTTGCAAGCGCCCCTTCGCAATAGATACCAACTGCATCGCATTAAGGATATCTTGATCCTTTCTTTGCAATGCTTGAGATAGTTCATTTGTAATTCCCAAGACGGTCTTCATCAAATGCAAAAAGAATGCAAAATCAAAAGTTTGTATAGAGTCTAAATGTCGCATAGCCTCACCCTTTTGATCTGAAGTCACCCCATCTTCTTTGATAACTTCAAGAACATCAATCATCGAGGAATACATTTGAACTAAACTAATCAAGCTGCCATAGTGTGAACCCCAGCGAGTTTCACCACTTCGTTTCAAACCAATTCCTTGATTCATGCCTCGCCCAGTCTGAATTTCACCTTTTTCAATTCCTTCTTTAACTCTAGCTGCATGTGTTTCACGAAGCAAGTCGTATCGCTTGCACGACCCCCCAACAATATTGATAAGTGTAGAAATTAAACCAAAAAACAAAGCAACATGATCATGTGTTTTTGCAACATAAACAAGAGTCAGTTGCAACTGATGAGCAAAGCAATGAATACAGAAAGCAGATGGATTTTCTTTCAAAATTAAACTCTTAAGCCCATTAAATTCACCTTGCATATTGCTAGCTCCATCATAACCTTGGCCTCGTATCCTTGATGCACTTAATCCATACTTACTAAATACTAGATCAATCCCCTTCTTCAAAGTCAAAGCACTTGTATCCTTAACATGAACAACCCCTATAAAATGCTCAACAATGCTTCCATTTTTGTCAACATAACGTAAATCAATGGCCATTTCTTCCTTGATGGATACATCTCGAGACTCATCAACAATAATAGAAAAATATTCATTGCCAAGGTCATTTATAATTGCTTTGATGGTCTCTGTAGCAGCAGCATGAACAATGTCTTTTTGAATCTTAGGGGCAGTTAAGCGATGATTATCGGGAGCGTTTTGTAAAACACATTTTTTTATATCTTCATTACAAGCCGCAAGAACCTTTAGAAGTTCAAGAAAGTTACCTTGATTAGAAGATGCATCAGATTCATCATGGCCACGAAAAGGTAACCCTTGTTTCAGAAGGAAGCGAATGCAAGTAAGTGAAGCAGATAATCGACGCCGATATACTTCACGAACTTGATCGGATTGTTTGAGAATGGCAACATCAATATGTTGGGTTTGTTTCATCAAATCTTCACCCCTTCTATAAGCAATATCATGTGCACTGTTTGGCCCTCCAACATGATTCTGAAGTCTACCTTTAACACTCCAATTAGAAAATCCTGTGGTAACAAATGCATCTCCACCGGACTGTTTTCCAAAGTCAGCTCTGAATAGATAACAATACAAACAATATGCATCATCCTTATCTATGCTATATTCTAACCAACTTTCAAATTCATTAAACCAAGACGGGCAAAATCTTCTGGACTTAGTACCAATTATTCGTTGAGGAAACTTATGAGTGCGCGGCTGACAAGGCCCTTTTTGTAAATAAAACCTTCTCACTTTATCTTGATCATTTGGATGATAACTACAAATTTTTGGACGTAATCCAGGGTCTGTGGGCAAATCATCTAAATTGACCTCAATCCCAGGTTGTTTAAAAGCACGAGACCCGCTAGCTTCATTATGAATTACATCACGACTTGCTCTTGTAATAGTAACAAAATTATACATGGACATTGTATCTACAGAAAATGTATAAATCAAAACACGATTATAAATATGAACTACATATTAATTAGGGTTTAATAATTTAAGAAAAAATTGGTTATTGTTGTTCCCCTAGTTACAAATACAAAATTAATAACATAAAAAAGTAAAAGTAGAGTACTAGTAATATTGATTAGGCTTTAATAATTTAACAAAATACAGTACTAGAGATTAAAAATACAATATTAACAATAATATTAATTAGGCTTTAATAATTTAAGCAAAAAGAAACGAATAAACCTTGTGAATTCCCGATTTCAACTCCGGTCCTCTACTGCTCTGCAATTTAGATAATTGTTAAATAAATTCGAACAATAAATAAACTATAAAAATAATTAGTAACTACAATAAATTAGTAAAGCTTTAATGTAAAAGAAAAAAAACCTGAAATAGAGATAAGGAGTGAAAATCGCAGAGCCGCTGACCCGCTGTCCGTTGAGCAATACGTACGTTAAGTTGAAGGTTTGATTATTGAAAGAAGAAAGGAAATAGGTTAATATGGTCTAGGGCTTTTCAAACTGGGTGTAAATTATTAATTTCTCATGTGCTATACCTATCATTTACGATCCACTCAATCAAAGAAATAACAAATAAAAGGCCCACTTGCACAGCCCATATGCAAAAAATGCCACATGAGAAGTTAAAAAAAAATTGGGTGTAGCCTAAGGGGGGATTCGAACCAATGACCTGAAGCATAATGGAACATCTATTATTTTTGCTACTACCACATAAGCTAGTGGAACTTTTTGAGGTGAAACCAACGCTTACCCACCTTATACCGTAAGTCCGCCGCTGTTCACCGACGAAGGTTTGACTGCGGATTTCTCAAGATCTCGTCGTTCAAACCGGATTCTGAGTACAGTCCGAGGTTCGTAACTTCAAGGCGAGCATTTGGGTACTTGTTTCGCCGGATTTGAGTAAGTTTTCAAGTTTCCCCCAATTTCTTGGGTACTGTTGCTTGCTCGAACTCTGGGAACTTTGACGAATTTTAATTATTTTTCTACTTGTGTTCTGTGATTTCTGATTATACTGTGAGCATCGTCTAGCTGAGGAGAACACTTGGTTAAGTTTTGAGAATTTTCTGACGATTTTTTGGTTTTACGTGTTACTGTTCATCGTCCCAGTTCACTGGGAGGTTGCTACAGTAAAAACTGCGAACCCAGAATTTGTTAAACAATTCTCTTGGCTTCTAGACTTGGCTGTTGGTTAAAATAATCATACCAGGTTGTTCAGCATATTGAGGGGGATCTCCTTGAATTTTTTGAGTTTTTTTGGAACACTTTCAAAAATCCCAACTTTCTGCTTGCTACAGTAATTCCTGTGCACCTTTGACTAGTTACGAGCTCTTTCTGAAATCCATACTTGATCACTGGTTTAACGGGATATACCGTTGCGTTCCCAACTTCAAGGGGAACGTGCGAGAGTTTTTTCAGAATTTTCTAAGCTCATTTGGACTGTTTAATTTTGGTATTTTGCTACTGATTTTGTTGGTACTAATCTTTGTGGTGCGAAAAGTCCTGTGGGCAGTTTTCTTTTGTTTTTTGGTTGGTACTAACACTGCAGGTGTGATGCACTGACTACAATGACGAGGAATAACAAACAGTCTCGTACTCCTCCACCTAAGGATGACATCTTTGATGCCAAAATCAAAATGATCAATGCAAAGAAATTGGAGATTGAGAACCAAAAGAAGGAGGGGGAGGCTACAAAGGTGTACATTCCCAAGACGGCTCCTAAGCTCACCATTAATCCTGGTCCGACACAACGAAGTCAGCCCCCTCCCTCATGCGTAACACCTTTGAAGGAAATTACTTTTGAACAAGAAATAACGGCTTCAAGTGCTACAAATGAGGTGGCCACGCCTAAAGTGGATGTTTCGAAGGAAGATGCCTCTATTACTCTTGGGTCCGTGGACACAACATCCATTGCTAGTTATGAGGAGGATCTTGAAGAAGAAAATGACGGTAAAGATAAAAAGGGATGGGCGAATTTATTCCAAAATAATCGCTCCCTCTCCCATGGCATGAAACTGGAGTATGTCCCACCCATTGGGGATTTTGTTGATTTTTCCAATAGGAAAGTACCATCTATTATTGAAATCTGGGGATATTGCTTAGTTGGGAGCTTCGCGGGCAGATTCCCCGGCAGAAATGCTGTACTTGACCTCATTAGAAAATGGGGTGTTGAATGTAAAATAAAGTCGCATGACAAAGGATGGACTATCTTCCAATTTAAGAATGAGGAAGACCGCACAAAAGTCATTTCCGAGGGACCTTACTCATCATATGGTAAGGCTCTTTTCCTCAAGGTCCTATCTGATGATTTTGATGTTGATGGGGAGGAGTTCCTTAAGGTTCCTATCTGGATAAAACTCCCCGGGCTTTCGATTACTCTATGGAATAAACCGGAGATAAGTGAGCTTGCCTCACGGGTTGGGCTGCCTATAATTGCGGATCAAGTCACTCTAAACAAGGCAAGAGCTAACTTTGCCCGTGTTCTTGTGGAGGTGGATCTTACTAAGCCTCCGGTCCTTGAAATCCCCATGATCCAACCATCCGGGAGGAAAAGAAAGCAATATGTTATATACGAGACTTATCCTACGTATTGCTACGAATGCAAGAAGTATGGCCATAATCCCTTTATGTGTAATGTGCTTCAACCGGAGCTAAAAGAGGAGGTGAAAAAAGATGTACTTGTTAACAAAAAAATCGTGAAGCCAAATGGTAAGGATGATGTCGGGGCTAGTGTTACTATCCATGGTAAGGGTGATGCCGGGGCTAGTGCTATTGTCCATGGAGATATGGAAGAGGCTCCTTTTCAACTTGTTAAACCAAGGAAGAACAAGGCCATAGCTACCACTTCTAATGCTTCAAAGACACCGGCTGCTCCTAAGCCAATTGTACCCGTGACTCAAAAGAAGAATCCGGTCAAGGATTTCGAATGGAGAGGAAGAAGAATAACAAATGTGCACCTTATGCAAACCGATGATATTGTGACTGATTTTGTGGCCGAAGAGGATGGAACGAAGATGGTCTTTGTTAAAAAACGCCATCAAATTAAGAGTAGCGTACTGGTGGAAAGGCTTGACTTGGACACGCTTAAGGAGGCGCAAATGGATGCACCGGCTATCATGTTCACGGACCCTTGCTTGGTGGCTCTCCCGGGAGTAAAGCGCACCAAAAAATGGTATCATTTTAATAAAGAAATTTTTATTCCTAATGTTGCTACTTTTTTTGATCTTAAAGCTAGCCACAATGTCGAGTTTGCTCAAGAAAGGAACAAAGCACAAGCTGCCGAGGATAAGTTGCGTAAGGAAAAGGAAGCCATGGCTAGGGCTGCGGCTAGTGCGGCTGATCCAAGGAACTACCGCAAGAAACCTTATGAACATTGGGGGGAACGCCAAGTGCAAAGTGTATATGAATTGGATGAGGAAGATGTTGTAACAAGCATGGAATTCGACAAGCACGGACAAAGGACCGTCTTCGCAGCAAAAAGGGAACTTCTCCCTTTTAGTCAACAAGTGCAACGTGTGGGACCCGACTTCAAAAGGACGGACTTGGACTGCCCAGGGATGTCCTTCACACAAGAATGCCTACGCACACTCCCGGGAGTCAAACGGGCAACACCATGGTATAAATTTGACGCCTCGATTTTTATTCCTAAAGTGGTTGCTTTTTTTGATGATAACAGTGTAGAAAACATGGAGCTATGCAAGAGGATGAAGGCTAGGCAACAAAAAAAGAAGGAAGTGGTGGACGAATCGGAGGATGACCACACCTCTAGCTCTGATTATCCTGATGATTAAAGCCGTCATATGGAATGTGAGAGGTTTGAAAAAACCTTCTAAACACTCTACTATTTCGAGTTTTATTAATTCTAATCATGCGAGTTTGTGTTGTTTTTTGGAAACAAAAATGACAAAAATAAATATTGCGAATTATATAACTAATAAATGGACTGGTTGGTTTTTTGAAACTAATCACTCTTTTATAGATGGTGGACGTATACTTGTGTTTTGGAATCCTAATTTAATCACATGTACGTTAATTGAAATGGGGGAGCAACACATGTTAGTCCCTGTTTCTGTAACAACAATGAATAATCGATCTAACAAGGAAGATTAAACGTAAAGATGAACACAGAATGAATCACCGTAAAACCTTCTTTGATAAACCGTGGAACGTACAGCAGAATGATAAGCATAAGGCTATGAATAATAAGTACGACGTTCAGCCTTTTCCTAAACCTCGGCTCCCTTTTTATAGGCGAGGTTTAGGTTAGGCGTACCAGGCTTTTGGCCTGTTTAAATGGGCCTAACACTTGGCCTGATTTCTATCTAATTTATGCACTATTTAAATACAAGGATTAAATATAAAGCTAATCTATGACCAACTTGATTCACAATTAAATATCTCCAACAATCTCCCCCTTTGTGATCAAGTGCCATTCTCTTATTGCTTCTGAGATTTGAAGTAGTGCTTCCTCAAACCAAGTGCATGTTCATACTGCCTCAGCACATTTCTCTTTTCGAGGCGATCGTCAATGGCCTTTAAAATTGTCTCTACAGTAGAGTGTTCCTTTTGAACATAAGACGATGCCTCTTGAAGATTTTCCTCTAGCTTTGCCTTCATCTGTAAAATCTGCTCTCTGATTATCTTCAGTGTTCCGTCACAGTACTTCTCGATTTCACTGACTACCATCAGACGCTTTTCGTTCTTGTGGTTCAGATAGGTGATTGCTGGCGGTGTGAAGAAGATGTGGTAGGCTGGGAAATCTTCAAGTTCTGGACTATACAGTCTTGGCTTTGTCAGATTTGTCTTCTTCAGATTGCATTCAATAGCCATCTGTAGGTCATGTGAAGAGTGTACTCGGATCTGTCTAAGCATGAATCTCTTGATAGCTGCGAGGCCTTCGCTGTATACTATGCTCTGCCTGACTGGAAGGTATCTGTAGGCCATGAGCATTTGGTAGATGTCATCTGGTTTCAGCATGATGAAGTCGTTCTCTTGACAAGTGAATTCGCTCCCATCGGTGCGTTGAAGTCTGTAAGTGTAGAATGTTACTCCATGACAGTCTTCAGCCTTCACTTGTAGAATTTGATGAATCGGGAGAATATTCGACTTCAGATCTTGTTCCATTAGTTCTCTCTGTGTACCGGTTGACCTTTGCAGCAACATATGCAGATGACCTCCAGCCTGCTTTCCTTTCAAGTGAGTAAGGCCTCTTAGCTTCAGTTCGTTCAGTGGCTTGACTTTGTCTGGTCTACACCAGATATGCTCTCTGATTTCTTCTTGGAAGGGGGCTTTGATACGAACATTATCCCAGGGTTTCTCTGTCTTGGGAAGTCTTCCCGCTGTTTGTCTTATGACTGATTCAAGAGTCTTATGGGATTCCTTGTAATTCTCCCCTTCCTTGCGTTCATCGTCCTCGAGCCGTATAATATCTTCAGAGCATTTGTTGATCAGCTCTCGTAGCCACCAGTTTCTTTGCATGTCCTCTTGCTCGGCTTCAACCCGAAGATCATCCCATTCTGTCCATTTTCTCGGCCATTTGTCGTATATCACCGCCTCTTCCAGTGCATCATGGATGTCTTTGTCTGGGAAAATATATGGAATTCTTTGTTCAGGCGGTGATTGTTCCTGTGTAGCACTACCGAGTTCACTAGGATTGCCCGTTGACATCAGCTTAGAACTGGGTTCCAACTGATGGCCTGATGGAGAAGATGTACCAGTGGTAACATCATCAGGACTTCCATCCCCTCCTCGGTTGGTATCTCTGGGAGATACGCCTCGGGATGTTATTTCTAGCTCGACCATGCTAGATAGTTTGGCTGTGGATGGTGGCTGTTGGTTTGTTGAGGTTTCAGGTTGAATTGGCTGTGGAGTTTGGCTTGGTAGAGCAGTTTGCTCAAGTGATCGAGGTCGCTTGTTCTCCCCCTCATGAGGATCCGAATCATCGGGGTCCTCATGGGAACGTTTGCGACCACAAAGACTCTCCTTGCAAGTGCTCTTGGTTTCGGGTGAAGAAAGAAGAGCTTCAAGTATGGCTTGCTGATGAAGAGTGAGGTTGTCTTCTGGGGTATTTAGGAGGTTATTCAGCAAAGCCGAAGCTAGTGTGTCAAAGGATAGGGAGGAGAGATCGATGGAGGGTGTGGTCGGGTGTGGGGAGAATACTGGTTCTGTATCCTGGGTTCCCCGAGAAATAGAAGGGATAGGAATTTGGTTTATGGATTGGTGGGATAAAGGGGTGGAGGATATGGGTTGTGTATGGGAGATGAACGGTTCAGGGGAAGGTTGGGGTGGTGTCTGTTCAGACCGAACCGCTTGGGTGGTCCTAAATTCCTGTGCTAGAGCGGTCATTGCATCTTGCACCCATGGCTTAATGGTGGAATCCAGGAAGCGATTCAGTAGAACGTTTACGTCTTCAAAGGTAGGGTGACCAGTTAAGGGGGTTGTAACTGTTGACACAGCATCAGTGAAGATTGCTGATGTGTGGCCTGCATTTAATGATGGAATCATTATGGGCGTAGCAGGGCTTCCAACCGTCATAGCTTGCGCTCTGGTTGTTGCGTTCAGGGTGAGTGCACCTGTATGTGCAGTGAATAGTGTAGGTGTCCTAGAAAAGGAAGAAAATGTGGGAAATGTGACACCTAGACTCGATGTGAGAGAAGAAGGGGTTTTGACCTCGGGAGATAGGTCAATTGTATGCTCAACTGATTCAGAAGGAACCAGCGAGGGGGTTGAGTCCCGCTCTTTTGAAACAATGGCCTTTTGAGAGGCAATTGAGTGGCTGGGAGAGGGCTGTGCATGCGTAGTTGAGCCAGATGCTGCGACTTCTACCCGGGAACCGAAAAGATCGGCTCCTGTGCTTAGGGATTCGGCTCGACTTATCTGGATAAAGGAGTCGCAGCCCGAGAAGATGTGCTCGTCTGCCTTATCAAACAGGTTTTTTCTGGCTTGGGGCTGGGTCTTAGCCTTGGTAGCCTTGTCATTTTTGACCTTAGCCCTGGTCTCTCGGATGACAACTTCTTTCGAGTTGATTGACGCTTTAATCGTATGAGCCGCCTCGTCATAGTCGTCCTTTGAGCAGTTTGTCTCGCTGGAAACAACTATCGGCTTAGCTTTCTCCTTAATGGTGAAGACTTTGGGTCTGCCAGCGATTATTGGTGCTGCATCTTCAGTAGTTATTCTTTTCTTCTTAGGAGATTCAACTGGCAGTTTCCCTTTTCTGATTAGAGCATATGTTAGCTCCACATCATCGCTGTCATTGTCGTCGTCATCATCCGAGCCAGAATCTCCGCTCTCCGTGCCCACGCTCTCGGAAGCCTCGTCGTCAGTGTTCGTTTGGGCTTCACTCGACGATTCATTGGCCGTATCCTCAGCGTCTTTTTCGGTGCCCTCAGCCGCCTGACTCGTCTCTAGAGAGTCGTCAGACTTCCCTTCATTGGGCAAACCGGCCACTGGTTTCTGTGGCTTTTGGGCTCTCTTGGGACCCTTACCAACACTCGGCTTTGCCCCTGGGGTAGGTCCAGCTGGGTTTTGCTGAACCATAGGGACAATTTTCTCGGTGGCTTCTTTGTATTGTTGGACTGCTGGATTTGAAGATTTTACCAGCTTTAGCAGAAATCCAGGTATCTTCAGACCATAAGTAGGATTCTTGTCTGCTTTGAAGTACTGTAGCTTCGGTGCTGTGAAGTGAGGATCTGTACTGCGTCTTGGTATGGAGGCATGCTCTGCCATGCAGTCGTGTATGATCAGCCCGAGCCATCTAGCGTACGGAATGGTACCTGGCCTATTCTTTTCTTTGGCCTTGACCAGGTCCATTAGCTCTGAGAAGAAGAGCTGTGCCATGTCGTAGTTCTTGTTGAAGGCGATGCCATGGAAGATAAGCAGGATCTGCTTGTTGCACTTGTCGAATCCGGCATGCTTCGGCGACAGGCACTTGTTCACAAGCCCAAAGAGATTTTTCCACGGGTGACGGAGATATGCACCGTTGAAATTTGACAGTTGTGGCAGTAGTGATGTGTAGCCAAGGGATGCCACGTCTTTGAGCAGATCAGGGATGGATGGCAGTGCATCATACGTGTCATGAACTGGCAGCGCTAGTGTAGATTGCAGTGTTGATGGCGTCAGGATTACGCGCATGCCATTCAGTTTAGTCTTGATTTTGGAGCGATCCTTCGCTGATTCAGTATGCATGTGGCCCCAAAATTGTTGTAGGTATATCTCTGGCACTGGCTTGGCGTTGTGAAGTGCAGGCCAGGGATAGTGACCTTTCATTATGGCCGGAATGATCGGGTTCTGGCACTTGAAGACGGTGAGGTCTAGCTGGAAGTTGTTGTCCAGCACCTTTATCCACTTGCCCTTAGGGTAGATGGCGTCGTCAATCTGTGTTTGAGTGTTTCCTGCCATTTTAAACTGTAGAAGCAGGGGTCAGCACATGAAGTTCAACTGTTGATTTGATTTTGAAAGAATTTAATTTGTTGTTTTCAGATAAGTTTATGCAGATGGAGTTTTGAAAAAAAATTCTAAGTTCAAATCTCAAATCTCGAGATGCAGATCTCGAGATCTTGATTTCGAGATTCAAATCTCGAGATCATTATTTCGAGATTCAGATCTCGAGATCTTGATTTCGAGATTCAAATCTCGAGATCAAGATGTCGAGATGCAGATCTCGAGATCTTGATTTCGAGATTCAAATCTCGAGATCAAGATGTCGAGATGCAGATCTCGAGATCTTGATTTCGAGATTCAAATCTCGAGATCAAGATGTCGAGATGCCCATCTCGAGATCTTGATTTCGAGAAGATGAATCGACGATCTCGAGATCTTGAAATCCAAAATCTCGAAATCGTGATTTCGAAGCGAAGAATCCACCTGCAAATACAACGATATAACAAAACGATAACAAGCTATTTCGACCTATAATCTAACAAAAACCTTTTTTTTTTATTTTGATTTTGAGAAAAAACAATCGATTTGCGAGAATCATCGTTCGTTTTCGAACGATGTTGAAGATTATGATTTCGAACGAAGAACTACCTTCGTAAGTAGTTGTGAATAAGAAACAGGAGATGGAGATTGCGAAAACGGTCTGAGGGGATTTCGAAAACGGTATTTCGGGAAGAAGAAGGAGAAACGGTCAGGAGCTCTGAGATGCGAAAAGTCCGTGCCTTTGCGAAAAGATTTTAGAAACATAAGAATGAAGGGTTTCACGAGGGCTTATATACGCGAGAAGATTGGGCCTCTTTCGAAATAGATGAGCCCGAAAGTATGGGCTAGCACAAAATGCCATTTTTAAAAGATTTTTGAGGCCCAAATGAGTAAAAAATAAAGGCTCCCCTCAATCAGTGAAAATTAGCTCCCCCCTCAAACAGTGAAAATTTTCTCCCCCTCAAACAGTGAAAATGTTCTCCCCCTCAAAAAATGCAACGAACAAATATGTACAAATGCAACGCACACACACTATTTTTTTTTTGTTCTTTTTGATTTTTCACACACACTCAACACATGCAACACACGCACACTATTTTTTTGTTTGTTATTTTTCTGGTTTTCTCCCCCTCAACACATGCAACGCACACACACTATTTACAAATCCTACACACACACACTTTTTACAAGTCCCACACACACACACACTTTTTAGATCAGTGGAGACATATTTAAATGGGCTCGAGGTTCAACATGCCCAACTTGGAGACTAGGAACTGGAATCGTTTTTCATCCAATGCCTTAGTGAACAAGTCAGCCAGTTGAAGCTCTGAGCTTACAAAATACATGTCAATGTCTCCTTTTTCCACATGATCCTTGATGAAATGATAGCGCAGGTCGATGTGTTTGGTGCGGGAGTGATGAACCGGGTTGCTGGTGATGGCTATGGCGCTTTGTGAATCACTGTAGATCGGGATATGGCGGAGAGTGTAACCGTAGTCCTTTAGCTGGGTCTTCATCCATAATATTTGTGAACAACAGCTAGCAGCCGCGACGTATTCTGCCTCGGCCGTAGATGTTGACACACAGTTCTGTTTCTTGGAAGACCAGCAGACTAACTTATCGCCCAAGAATTGGACTGCCCCCGATGTGCTTTTGCGGTCCATCCGGCAACCAGCAAAGTCAGCATCTGAGTATCCGACTAGGTCAAAACCTGAGTGCTTGGGATACCAAAGGCCTAGATTCACAGTGCCTTTGAGGTATCTCAGAATTCTTCGAACAGCGGTCAGATGGGATTCCTTCGGATTTGCCTGAAAGCGTGCACATAAGCATGTGGAGAAAACAATGTCAGGTCTGCTTGATGTGAGATATAGCAAAGATCCAATGATGGCCCTGTAGTTTGTAGCATCAACTGGCTTCCCGGAGGGGTTTGAGTCCAGTTTGTTGTTTGGGGACATGGGGGTCGTCATGGAAGATTTGCCATCAATGTTGAATCTCTTAAGCATTTCCAGAATGTACTTTGACTGATTGATGAAAATGCCGTCAGAGAGTTGTCTTACTTGCAGGCCTAGAAAGAAATTCAGTTCGCCCATCATGCTCATTTCGAACTTGGTTTTCATCAGTTTCTCAAAGTGTTTGCACAGGCGTGGATTTGAGGAGGCGAAGATAATGTCATCAACATAGATCTGAATCAGGATGATGTCAGACTTCTGTCGCTTGATGAAAAGTGTGGTATCAATCTTCCCTTTTGAGAAACCTGAATCAACCAGAAATTCGGTTAATGCATCATACCAAGCTCTTGGTGCCTGTTTTAACCCATACAGAGCTTTCTTTAGCTTGTACACATGGTCGGGATATTTGGGATCTACGAATCCTTCGGGCTGAGCGACATAGACTTCTTCTTCCAAGACTCCATTCAGAAAGGCAGTCTTGACGTCCATTTGAAAGACAGTAAAGTTCTTGTGGGCCGCGTACGCAAGAAAAAGGCGGATTGCTTCAATTCTTGCTACGGGTGCAAATGTTTCATCATAGTCTATGCCCTCTTGCTGATTATATCCTTTAGCGACCAGTCGTGCCTTGTTCCGTATCACTATGCCTTCTTCATCCTTCTTGTTCTTGAACACCCATTTTGTGCCAATGATGGTTTTCTGAGGGGGTTTAGGCACGAGTGTCCATACATCTAGTCTGTCAAATTGATTGAGCTCATCTTGCATGGCAATCACCCAATCTGGATCAGCGAGTGCCTCTGAGACTTTGGACGGTTCATTCTTGCTTAGAAAGCATGCATAGTGACATTCATTTGTTGTTGCTGATCTTGTTCGCACACCTTGACTTGGATCACCTATTATTTGTTCAACAGGATGTGCTCTCGTCCACTTCCTCTCATGAGCTAGAGGAGTTGGAGTAATTATTGGTTGATCTGAGTCCTGATATGAGTTTGAAGGCTCTGGGGCAGCTGTGGTGTGTAGTGGAGATGATTCCGGACTTATGGCAAAGCCGTGATCATCCACACCTCTGGGATTGGTTTGAGGGGTTGAGGGTGTGGATGGTACGTCATCTGGTCCTGTGAGGAGCGGAATCTCTGCTGTTGGAGTTGATGTTGACTCTGGAGTGTATGCAGGAGGTGGAGATTGTGAGTTCTCGTAAAAGTTTCTGAAGAGAGAGTCGAGAATCACATCGTCGTGTTCTGTGTTTGGTTCAGCTTTATCAGAAGCTACTGGTACAGCAGTGGATGGATCGGTCTGGAGATGTTCAATAGCAAAGTCTGCCATTTCATAGAATGTAACGTTTACACTCTCGATGACAGTCCGCTTGTCTCTGAGGTAGACTCGGTAAGCTTTGGATTGCAGTGAGTAGCCAATGAACACGCCTTCTCTGGCTTTGGGATCCAGCTTACTTCTCTCTGTCCGATCATTGAGTATGAAGCACTTGCAGCCAAAAACCTTGAGGAAAAAAATATCAGGAGTTTTGTTGAATAGGATCTCATATGGAGTCTTGTCGAAGCGCTTGTGGATGAAGGTTCTGTTCTGAGTGAAGCACGCAGTATTGATTGCATCTGCCCACATGAAGTGAGGCAGTCTTGATTGAATTAACATGGTGCGTGCTGCTTCAACAAGGGTTCTGTTCTTTCTCTCAACAACTTCGTTCTGCTGGGGAGTTTTAGCTGCTGCAAATTGCTGAGTGATACCGAGTGATTCATAGAACTCAGTGAGAGTTTGATTTTTAAACTCGGTACCATTGTCAGTTCTCACAATTCGAACACTGTGCTGTAGCAGTTTCTGGATCGTTCTGATAAAGGTCATAATGTTTTCCGCAGCTTTGTCTTTTGATCGGAGAAATTTTGTCCATGTATACCTAGAGAAGTCATCAACGATCACCAGAGTGTATTTGCGACCGTTGATGCTTTGAACTCTCATAGGTCCACACAGATCCATGTGTATTAGCTGCAACTGATGAGTAGATGAAGGTTCAGTTTTTGACTTGTGGGAGCTTCACGTCATTTTGCCCATTTTGCAGGCACTACAATGATTTTCAGCGGAAGACTTTAGCAGAGGAAGCCCCTTGACAAGTTTCTTGGAGGACAAGGTTGATAGATGTTTGAAGTTCAGATGGGAGAGACGTCTGTGCCATAGGTTGTTCTGTTCAGTTGAAGCTTTGGACAGCAGACAGATGGAAGTGGTGGATTGGACGCTTTTCAGATCAATAGTGTACAAATTTGATGTTCTGTAACACGTTAATAATGTATTTCCTGTGCTGTCAAGAACACAGCATTGTTTTGCAAAGAATCTCACTTCCATCCCGCTGTCACAGAATTGTCCAATGCTCAGTAAGTTGTGTTTGAGCCCTTTGACGAAAGAAACATCTTTTATTGTGACACTGGCACAAACGACGTCCCCATACCCAAGGATAGGAGATGAGGCGTCATTCCCGAATCTGACATTTCCTCCGTAGCAGTTGGTGTAGTTGCTCAAAAGGTGCTTTATTCCGGTCATGTGGGTTGAGCATCCTGAGTCTAAGTGCCACACATGACCGTCCTGCAAAACAATCAAATAGGTTTAGGTACCCAACTTGGAGTGGGTCCTTCCTTATTATCAAGAAACACCTTTTTAAATCTTGCTTTGAGCAGTGATCCAAGGTCAGCTGCTCTTTCAACAAAAGATCTATCTTTGGTGGGCTTTCCAATAGCCAGATCTGCTTTTGCAGTGTGTCTGGTTTTTGGAGTCCACCTAGCAGTTTCCATTTTGGTGGGTCTGGTGTTGTGAACCCACCTTTCCATTTGGATGGGTCTAAGTTTGGGGACCCACCTTTCAGTTTTAGTTTGGATGGGTCTTCGTTTGGGGACCCACCTATCCGTTTCAGATTTGGTAGGTCTCATCTTGGGGACCCACCTTTCCGTTTCAGTTTTGGTAGGTCTCATCTTGGGGACCCACCTCTTAGTTTCAGCTTTGACGGGTCTTATCTTGGGGACCCATCTTTCCGTTTTAGGTTCAGGAGGAGAGTAGACAGGTGCTTTGTGATTGAACGGTTGTTTCTTGAGTTTGGTTTTGAAAATCTCCTCCTTAGAAAGCCGATTAAGATGTTTCCTAGAATGAACTCTAAGGGCATATTTCATATCTGGAATACAAAACGTTCCCTTAGAAGTTCCTTTCTTGGTTTCTTTTTCAGGTTTAAGCTTTCTGGAAGGCTTAGATTTAACAACATTCATATCACATTCATAATTATGGGGATCTGGAACAGAATAACCATAAGCAACACTTGTATTATAAATAGAACTTTGTCTAGAAGATGTCTCAGAAATATTCAGCTTGGGACTCAAGACTGAACTACTAGAAGTTTGCTTTGTAGAGACAGAATTACAATTAACTTTTGAGTAAAAAATTGAACTAGATCTAGGGCTGGCATTGTTCTCGAAAACTTTCTTTTTGCCATCTGCGATTTCCTTCCTCTTTTTCCTCCACTCATTCTTCTCTTCTCCTTCCTTATTCATTTCCTTCCCTGTAAACAAAGGAGAAGAGAGATGAGTGGACGAACCTTTAAAAGCATTGTTTTTCTCATGTGAGGTGTGTGAGCTGTCAGGCTTGGTCGTTGAAGGGTCTGTTTTAGCATGAAACTGCTCACTCAAATCATTAAATTTTTGAAGAAGTTCCTGCCAGTTGCGCTCAAAACATTTCTTTTCAGTTTCAAATCTCTCTCTCTCGTCATCAAGAGTTTTCTGTAGGTTTTTGAGCTTTTGAGCCATGGGAAAAATACATGGTTCCTCACCAGTTTTAGCAATACCAACTCTTGGGGGAGGGTCTAGAGGGTGTCCTATGTGAGGAATATCTTTGGCATAAGGGTCAAGGCATTCACTAAAGCTGGAAGTAGGTTTTTCTTCTGAAAGTTGTTTTTCATTTACAGAGGGATAATCACAAGAAATCGCAGGTTTTGGTTTCTTTCTCTTTTCTTCTTCTGCTTCAGCATAGTCTTCATCACTTCGAAAATACATTTTCTCGCCAAACCCTAGTCCCATGTAATCTTTGTTATAGAATTGAAGGCAATTAACTTTCTTAAGATTACGTGGGTTGGTTATGCCCAGTCCTGTTTTAGCATTGTAGAATCGGTCATCCTTTTGTTTGTTGTTAAGCAGAAAAACAGTTTGTTCAGATTGACCTCTTCTAGCAGCTAGATCTTCTAGTTCTTTTACTTTATTTAAAAGCGTTCTTCTTTTGTTATGCAAAAAATCGCATTCAGCCTTTGCTGTGATTTTTTCCCGTTCACTGTCCTCAAATTTCTTAGTTAATTCAGCTATCTTAAGTTCAAAGCATTCAAAATCTGAGGACACCTTTTTGACCTGATCTTTTGCAATTTCAAGTTGAATACTTAAGGAAGACTTTTGGTCTAGATTCTGTTTCAGAACTCTATGATTATTGTCTAGTCTCTCCTTTAGTTCTTTGATTAGATTGTCTTTTTCAAGTAAGGACTGCATTTGATTATTTAAAGAAGTATGGGAGGTACTTACAGAGCTTGTTGTGCACTCGCCTTCGGGGATCGCAACATCACCCTTTCTTTCATCTCCTTCCACACGTGCCATAAGGGCATAATTATCTTCCTCCTCCTCCTCCTCAGAAGAATCTTCTGCCCAGTTCTCATTCTCAGCAATCATGGCAGAGGTTTCTTCTTCTTTCTGCACCATCAGCATTTTCTGCTTATTCCACAACATCTTCTGCTTGTAGAAGTTAGCATCTTTCTTCTTTGGGAGGCGGCAATCTTTAATCACATGTCCAGGCTTGCCGCAATTATAGCATTTAGGAGCTTCTTCTGCTGATGATGCCTTCCTAGAAGATCCTTGATCATGGTTCTTCTGCTTGTAGTTTGAGGAGGAAGTTCTTAGCCTGTTGGAAGAGGTGTTCTTTTTAGCAAATCTTTTGGCCAGCAGTGCCATCTTCTTCTGTAAGTCAGCTAGCTCAGCCTCTAGATCAGATTTGTCATCATCACTCATCATCATCATCTGATTCAACCACCACCTTCTTCTTTTTCTTCTTTAGTGAAGTGGTTGTTCTTCTTGGCTGAGCCTCCATTACTAGAGCTAAGGGGTTTGTGGTGTGATGATCCTCAGCACAGGCAACCTCGTTGACAAATTGTTTCAGATGTTCATAGAGTGTGCAGAGGTCAATTTCGTCCAAATCTATCCGAGATCTGACATCCTTCACTGTCTTTTCCCATGCAGGATGCAGGCTGGATAAAAATCTAATATTCAGTTCCAGATTGGACCTGAATACTTTGATCTTTCTGAGTTCATTTACCAGTTGAACAAGTCTGTTGTAGTCTCATTCAATGGTTCTCCTGGACCTGCTTTGAAGGAGTCATAAGCGATGAGAATCGTAGTCTTCTTTGTTTTGAGGCTGATGCTTGTGCCTTGTAGCAGCTTCTCTATTTCATCCCACATTTCCTTAGCTGTCTGCATGCTATCTATGAGAACATAAACCTCATTTGGTATTGCTTGAAGGAGGTACGTTTTGGCCATAAGATCACCACGAAGTCTGAGCTTGTCAGCTTCTGTGTATTCAGACGGCACTTTTCTTCTTATTTCTGGAAAAATAGGAGGATTGTTCTCTGGATCTCCACCAACTGAAATCAAGAGTTCAGCTGGTCCTTCAAGCAAGGATTCGAGCATTGCAGAAGAGTTCTCTTTGTGCTCGAGGAAGTTTAGAAATCTGTTCCTCCACATTTGATATTCTCCCTTCCTGAGGCTAGGAGGGGTACTGCTGTTCCCTTGTGCATTGTATTCTGAACCCATTGCTGTACTAAACTGACCGTTCGAGAAAATTGATCAAAAGATTTTCAGAGGCAGAATCTCGAAAAATCAGATGTCGAGATCTGAATATCGAAATCTCAGATTTCGATAAAGGAGGCCCGATATCGAGATTTGGGCTCGAGATTAAGGATCTCGAGATTAGGGATCTCGAGATTTCAAATTTCGAGAGGCTGATCTCGAGATTTGAAATGTCGAGAAGTTAATCTCTCGAAATCTTAATCTGATGAGTCAAATGTCGAGAACAGATGTCGAATCCTTTTCTCGAAATCAAGATTTCGAAATCCTAGATGTCGAAATCCTCAATGTCGAAATTCTGCAACCCGTAAAAATCAGATAAACAAAATCTGAAGATAGTTTCCTGTAGAGTTGAATGTCGAGATCTTCTGGTAAAGTTTTCAACTCGAAAAACGTAGCAGAACCTGTGAAGAAGTAGGATGTCGAGATGCCTAGCTCGAGATATCTCGAAATCTAAAATTGCGTAAAACACAAACTGAAGTATACCCTTTGATCGCTTTGAAAAGGCGATTCCAAAGGTGTAACTTTTACAACTTTTGAACAAGAAACAAAATTACAGAGCAAAAAATCGACAGAATGAATTTCGTTAACAAAAAACAGAGTATTCTGCAGGAGTTCTTCTGATCGTTCTCGATCGGCTCTGATACCAATTGTTAGTCCTTGTTTCTGTAACAGCAATGAATAATCGATCTAACAAGGAAGATTAAACGTAAAGATGAACACAGAATGAATCACCGTAAAACCTTCTTTGATAAACCGTGGAACGTACAGCAGAATGATAAGCGTAAGGCTATGAATAATAAGTACGACGTTCAGCCTTTTCCTAAACCTCGGCTCCCTTTTTATAGGCGAGGTTTAGGTTAGGCGTACCAGGCTTTTGGCCTGTTTAAATGGGCCTAACACTTGGCCTGATTTCTATCTAATTTATGCACTATTTAAATACAAGGATTAAATATAAAGCTAATCTATGACCAACTTGATTCACAATTAAATATCTCCAACAACACATGCACTTCAAATGCCTATGCCTCACGTCTCAAACTGTTTTTCATGCTACTTTTATCTATTCGCTATATACAGTTTTGAGGCGTAGGTCTCTATGGGAGCACCTCTCTTTGCTTGGGGATCAAATTAAAGACCCTTGGTTCTTAGCGGGTGACTTTAATTGTGTTTACTCTCCTAATGAGAGATTGGGTTCTAACGCACCCTCGAACTATCTTTTAAAAGACTTACTTGATTTTAAAATCCGGGCTAGCCTTCAAGATGCCCCATCCACGGGGGAATTCTTTACGTGGAATAAGGGACCTCTTTGGGCAAAACTTGACCGGGTATTGTTAAATGAGACGTGGGCTCGTTTGAGGATCGAATGCAAGGCCCATTTCGCTGAAATGGAGGTCGAGTTTGACCACACGGCTTCCGTGGTGTCTATACTCAACAATACCTCTCTCAGGCCGAAATCATTCAAATTTTTTAACATGTGGTTACAACATTGTGCTTTCACTAACATACTTTTGCAGAATTGGAATGTGAATATTCAAGGCACGGCTCAATTCCAAATTGCTAAGAAACTTAAGTTGCTAAAACAGCCGCTTAAGAATCTTAACAAAGTGGAATTCGGTCATATTTCTATGAAGGCAAAAAATGCGAAGGAAGATTTTAAAAGGCTTAACAGGTTGTTGCTTGATTCTCCCGATGATGCCGACCTCAAAGAGCAAGTAAATGGGGTGAGGAAAAGAGCCACCTTCCTAGGTGAGGCCGAATGTAGTTTCTTCCAACAGCGTGCGAAAGCTACACATATCCTTGAGGCGGATAAGGGCACAAGGTATTTCCACGCTATCGTCAAAAGGAACAAGGCCAGGAATACCATTACGTACATTAGGTTGGAGGATGGTAGCCTCACTACTTCTATTGATCATGTTGGGAATGAATTTGTAAAATTTTTTGTTGATCTTTTTGGCACCGAGATGGAAACCTTTTCCTTTGACCAAACGGTACTAGGAACCGGCCCTTTGATTGAACCAAGTGTTCATTATAGCCTATTATTTCCGATATCTAACAAAGAAATTAAAGATGCTTTGTTTGATATTGGGGATGACAAGGCACCAGGGCCGGACGGTTATTCATCGGCGTTTTTTATGAAAAATTGGAATGTTGTGGGGGGGGATGTGACTCGGGTGATCAAAGAGTTCTTTAACTCGGGAAAGATGCTTAAACAGTTAAATCATACTGTGATAGCTCTAATTCCTAAAACTAGTCACTCCCCTATGGTCTCAGATTATAGACCTATTTCGTGTACTAATGTGCTTTATAAGATCATTACGAAGATTATTGCGGCAAGATTAATCCCTACCCTTCCGGGTTTGATTAACAAAGCACAAGGTGCGTTTGTGGATGGCCGCCTAATGTTTGATAACATTTTCCTCGCCCAGGAACTTGTTAGAGGATACAATAGGAAGCGAATCTCACCTCGTTGTATGATTAAGGTGGATTTGCGCAAGGCCTATGATACTATTTCTTGGGATTTTCTTGCCAATGATCTTAAGGGTCTGGGCTACCCCGATTTATTTGTGGGTTGGATAATGGAGTGCGTTACTACCGCGTCTTTTTCTGTTTCGTTGAATGGAATTTTGCATGGTTTCTTTAAGGGTAAGCGTGGCATTAGGCATGGGGATCCAATGTCCCCGATGCTTTTCGTTCTATGCCTTGAGTACTTCTCTCGCCTTCTTACCATGAAATCTAAAGTATCGGGCTTTAACCATCACCCGCTTTGTGGGTCCTTGGGTATAACCCACTTGGCCTATGCAGATGATCTTATGCTCTTCTCGAGAGGAGACAAATACTCCATTGGAATATTGGTTGAGGCTCTTGAAGAGTTTGGGGACGTATCGGGCCTAAGGGTTAACCATAACAAATCTAACATTTTCGTTGGTGGGGTTAATAGTTACGATTTGCAGGGCATTTTAGACCTCGTGGACTTCGATCGTGGAGCTTTCCTGGTGAGATATCTCGGTATCCCACTTGCGCCTTTAAAAATCTCCGTGGCCCAATTTGCGCCACTCCTAGATACGGTAAATGATTTCCTAAGCACCTGGAACACCAAGACGATTTCATATGCAGGTAAACTTGAGCTAATACGATCGGTGATCCAAGGGGTCCAATCGTTTTGGCTCCAAGTGTTTCCGGTGCCTCAAACTATTCTTGATAGAATTGTTTCGATATGTCGTATTTTTTTATGGGGTGGCAAATTCGCAAAGGTGGTTTGGGAGTATATTTGCCTCCCCAAAGAGGAAGGCGGCCTTGGCATTCACAATGCTAAGATATGGAATCACGCCCTCCTTGTGCGCACCCTCTGGGATGTACATCTAAAGAAAGACACGCTCTGGGTTCGTTGGGTGAACGGTGTATACCTCAAGGGTAGAACCGTGTGGGATTTTGTCCCACACACCCGAGACTCCCAGCTCATGAAGCGACTTAGTCTCATTCGAGATAAAATCCGGGGTTGTTTTAATAACTTGAATGATATGATTCTTGGTCTTAATTCCCGTTCCACAAATGGGAAATTAACCTCCGCAAAAATTTATGATTTACTTAGAGTTAAGGGTAATGTTAGGACTCCTATGAGTTTCATATGAAAATCCTACATTCCCCCCAAACTATCTTTTAACGTGTGGTTGGCCCTAAGAAACCGGCTTCCTACCCAGGATAGCCTCGGTTATCTGCACATTGTGAATAGGTGTGACCTGTGCAAGGGTGGTTTGGAGACAATACCACACCTTTTTTCCCTTTGCCCCTTTACTTGTAGGGTGTGGCAGCACATAAGGAACTGTATGAGACTTGGGCATGATATGACCACCTTGCTAAGTGCCGTGAAGTGGATTATGAAGACTCATAGAGGATCGACGTTGAAGGCAAAGGCAGCACGCCTCGCTTTCTGTGCCACGGTTTATTATATCTGGCATGGGCGTAACGAGATACGATTTGAGGGGGGATCAAAGACGGAGGGAGATATAACTGCTAAGATCAAGCATGTGGTGTATAAGGTCCTATACAACTTATACCCGCATGAACTGATCAACTTTTGATGATGGATGCCTAAGCCACGGCATAACCTCCTTGGACTTGTGTGTACCTTGCAACACATCGGACTTCTGGTTGAGGCTAAGGGGAGACTTCACTATAACCTCCTCTTGGTTGGGATGTTCGCATATGTTTTTTGATGTATTGTTATGATCTGTGTGCGTGCATCATGGCAGCACCGTTTTCTTTTGTGATTTTTGGGCATTTAGTATTGTATACTTAGGCCCTTTTTGAGTTATTTTGACCTTTGATTAGATCGAATAAAACCTCTTCTTACCCCTACACTATGTAGGGGTGGGGGGGATTTAGGAGATCTAGAACTCATGATGTATAGTTTTCTTTGGGTGTTAATATAAATTTACATTTCATCCAAAAAAAAAAAAGTTATGGAGAAGATACATTAAAGCCCATCTTTTGGATCCATGGCCTAAACCATCCTTTGTATGAAAGCTAGTACAATCCAGTTTACCAGGGCTAATCACACCAAAAGCTAAGTGCTAAAAAATCTCATATCAGTTATCGTAATTCAAATTGAATACTTTTATTTTAAGTGGTATAGTTGCTTTTACTCTTGTCAAAGGTGTGTAATTTTAAAATTGATATAGACATGCGATCTGATCACCAAAACTAAATGTGGACTTGGCTAAGTACTCGACACTCACGCCTAAACGGATCACGTAATCACGGGTGTGGCAATTCATAAGCTCAAACTGAAATTTGGATTTAAAATGCTAGAGATATTTTATGTTGTGACCAATGTTTACTATTAGGCCTCTTGTTGTATTTAATAATGGGTATAATAGCCTTATTAGTTAATGTGCAAAAGTGGAATATGGGCTCCCTTGATTTAAGGGCCCAATCATTTGTGAACTACCCATTCCCGAGGCTATAAATATGCCTTTATGGGAATGGAGTAGGTAAGCCTTTCCAGAAATATTCCCACCTGTGGAGAAGAGAAATACCCACGGAAGTTTTACGCTAAAGTTTTCTATCATTGTGTAAACTTTTTCTTCATCAATGAAAGGCTTCATTCACCCATCAAGAGCTCCATTTTCATATATTTCTAGTGTAGAAACATGGACCTAACATCTGGTATCAGAGCAAGAGCAGAACGACAGATTTACGTTGAAGATTTCACTCATGCGGGAATCTCTCTGCTTGGTGCGCGACATTTTTCTTGCTTATGTTTGATATTTTTGCAGGTTAAAAAGCCAAAAATGAATGTTGGCAGATGTTTTGCTAATTGTTGTAGATCATTTTCTGCATCGTCCGCACATTTTTAGATTGTGTACAGGTTAAAAAAGAGGAGCGCGAAGTTATAGGTTGGTGCATCTCTTTGTGCGCAAAACAACAGTTCACGCATCAAGCTTTGTGCACGAATTTCTCTCCTGCGCGAAAGAAGTTGTGCGCAAAGTGATGGTCCCCAGTGAGGTAAAAGCTAAGTCTAGAGGAGGAGGGGTGAACAGACTTTTAAAATCTTTTCTTGTTCAACCCTTTTTCCTCTAACAGAATGAGTTCCAATATCTTTTGGGAGATATTGAAACCTACAACGGAAGTCTTGACCACAAGAGTGTGACTCTTTATAGTAACAAAGGTTATGACCCTTTTAGTTGTGTGAGAGATGGGATGAACAAGGTGCAAATGTGTTTGCCAGAATCAGCTGGCTCAAGGAGAAGGCTGCTGAACACATTAAGAGCAGGCTGCCGATAGCATGAGCTGGCTGTTGAATTTCTCAGGAGCTAGCTGCTGATTTCAGGAGATGGCTGCTTAACCCTTTAGGAGCAGGCTGCTGATTTTAGCTGTTGTGTTAATTTTTAAGGCACAGAGAGGGTCTATGACCTTGGAAATTATTTGGATTTTGCAAACAAACAAAAGAAATATGTATGAAGGATTTAGACCTATTAAAATAGATCACTTTGATGATTAGAAAAAAGGAGTTTGATTCACAGAAAACTTGGACAGTTTTTGGTCAGTGAATGAGTAAGCTGTGTTATTGTGAATGTATGAAGGTGAGTGAGAACTGAAGTGTGTGTTGGGTGCTGAATATAAAAGGTGACACAAGATGTATCCTGGTTCAGAGGTGGTATAATCCTCCTACATCCATTCCCAACCTATTTCAGATGGATTTCCACTCAATGAATATCCTATTACATTTAGTGCCCGATCTACCCTTAGCCCAGACATAGATTGTGAGGCTTTTCCCAAGGAACTTGAACACAATTCCAAGCTACCCAGTCCTCCAAGGTTTTTCACTAATGGCATTGACTTGCCAAGAGCTACTCATGTTCTTGCCTTTCTCACCTTCTAGATTTGATCACAAAGCCCTCGAGAATGTCTAACACTAGTCTAGTTTACATGGGTGAAAACTAAACTACCAACTAATCTAAGCTCTATAGATGTGTATGAATTATAAGGTATTGTAAGAGTTGTAGATGTAACGCCCTGATTTTTATGAGCTAGTTATATTAATCATTTTTATTATTGATATTATTATTATTATAATCAATATTAATATTTATTTTAGGCAATTAAATAAGTTTCTTCTATGAGTAATGTATTTTATTGTTTGATCACGTGTTGTTCTGACAGGTAACGTTGACCGGTAAACTCTAATAATTTTAAGTGAAGAAATTAGTAATGTTTTAAAGTTTAATCAGTTTATTTTGAAATAGAAAATAGTTTTAAAGTTAGATTTTTTAGAACATTAGGAGCCCTAATCAATCTTAGCCCAAATAAGTCTCTTTTAAACTAAATCCCTAGGGAAATCACGCCACTTTCTATCATAAGAGCCGAGTACTAAGCCGTTGCAGCTCTCAAAATTCCTCCATAGCAGTCCGTTCCCAGCCATGCTCAAAGACCCTCTCCTCTTCCATACCAAGCTACTTATTCGGTTTTTGATTTCATCTCAAACCACCGAGAGTTTGTTTTCCTTGATAGCAATCTGATTTCAGGTATTAATCTTAATAGATTGCCTCTAGAATTCTTTAATTCGTATTACTGGAATTGGGTTTGATAGTTATGATTTTCTTCAAGTGCAGTCAAATTGCTTTTGGGAGGCTGGGTTTCGTCTATTTTTAAATCATGGGCAGCTTCTTTACGTTTGAGGTTTTAAATTGGACAATAGCTTCTTCTTTGTTCATGTGTGTTGCTCCTAGTTTTTCTGGTTAACATTGTTATTGGAGTTGGGGTTTTCTTTACATTCTACGGTCTTGAAACTATAAAGTTTAATCAACTTCTGTTTGTCATCAAGGATAACTATCTCAATTCCTCAAAGTGTCATCTGTAAATTTTAGTTAAAATCAATAAGCCTTCAATAAATCTTAGTTTTGAATGACACTTACGTAAACCAAAAACCTTAGAAGATTTTATTTTAAATTTAATTTTAAAAACGGGTTGCTGCATAAAGGTTTCCAAATTTTAAAAATTTTGTTTTCTTTTAGTTATCCATAGAAGCTAGATAAATGCAAAGAAAACGTAAGTCTTGAGTTTTAGTATATCCACCAGACATTTAAGTTTGATTTTAAGAAAACTGAGCCTTCCAAGTCTCTGTGGGGATGTTATTTCCGTATTAGACTCTGGTCGTATTCAGTAAATAGGTCTCATTCAGTAACATTTCAGCAGACAAAATTCCTCTTTTATGTTTTCCTTGAGTTGGTTTTGCCCTAAATATTTTGACTGGTGGCTGCTGCCGTTGAAACATATAGTATTCAATATGTTTTGAGGCACTTTTGACTGGTGGCTGCTGCTGTCTTCGGTACAAGCCAATATTAAACCGACTAAAATAGTACTCGAATCAACTAGTCATTTTACTCGCAGAGGCTGCGTGGCAGTAGCCAAAGATTTCATTAGCTTTATATGGTTTAAGACATCAGATTTGTAATTATTTTGTTATATCTAATTAAAGATTTCAAAGAAGAGCTCACCGGAAGACGTTATCAAGGTGCCACAATTATTTGAGTATTTTGAGTTCAGCTTCTATCAAGTAAGTTCACTACCACCTATACATGTTTCTTCTACCAAATGAAAGAAAGAAGCCTGGTTGATTTTTAGTAGATGATTTTAGACTATTTGTTATTATGTGTGCTTGGTGAATTATTCGATGAGTTATTGTAATTGTTGTATTAAGTTATGTTATTATCTGGCATAGTCAAGATTTTATTAGTACTTTATTTCAAGATTTTAATGATGTTTTTAGTCAAACGTCACCATAAAAAGAACTAATATTTAATGTGAAAGATGAGGTGATATGTACTCGAGAACAAGTTCCCTCAGATTATCAGTTTATCAGTTCCAGAGAGTCCGATATGTTTAGTGGGTCGCTCCCCTGGGCTGTCGGATTGGTGCCTTTGAGTACATATCACGAGCCCACAGTTAAAATTAGCCACAAAGAGTTTTACAGAAAGTTTATGAGATCCCTTTCAGAAAGTTTTACAGAAAGTTGTTTTTGAGATCTCTTTCAGAAAGTTTTACAGAGATGTTTTGAGAAAGAAATTTTGAGATCTCTCCAGTAGTTTTGAGAAATTATTTTAGAAAATATTTTCTTTTGGGATCTCTCTCCGAATTTATTTGAGAAGCTATTTGTTAGTTGTTTGTTTAGTGCATGCTTATAGCCTAAATTTATCTATTGATAAATTAGCATAGACTTCTCAGATATTTTTGTGGATCCATAGTGATTTACTAAGTGTAAAGCTTACCAGTTTTCTTTCTTCGCATGTACATATACTAAAGGTAAGGCCAAGGCCTAGGAAGATGATGAGAGAGTGGAACGCGTGCCGAAATGATTTAACGGGAACGACCTTGGCGGCTTCTAGCTAGTTATTATTTTATTTAAGTATTTCAGATGTTATAATAAAGTGATTATTATTACGTTATTTTATTTGAGGATTTGAAGTTTTAGTAAATTCCTTGATCCAGGTGGTTATCACATTTGCTGATGATAAATAGATTTTATTGAGTTTTATTTGGAGTAATATTTTAGTTATATTTGAGATTTTATCAGGGTTATTTCTTAAACAAACGGTCGTTATATTGCAGTTTTTTTAAGTAGTAAGTTTATGTAGCGTTTCCTTTAACCCTGAGAGGGGCGTTACAAATTTGGTATCAGAGCCCAGGTTGTCCCGTAACTTCATTTGTCATCGTACACATGCTCGTCATCTTCCAAGTAAGTATTTAGTAATGTTAGATGTTATCTATGTGAAAGTATGTTTGAGTGTTGTTTGTATGAGTTACATAGAAAAGTCAAGTAAGGGTAATATGTACTCAACTCGTAAAAACCGTTGTGTTATTACGAGTTATTCAGATTAAAACCGTTGTGTTCAAGTCATACACCTCATAATTACATATTCGCAGCCTTCCATATTAGTCTAGATTGATCTTTCATAGCAAGTATGTCTCCTACATAGAGTTTACTGATGATTAAAATCCGAGTTAATTTATAAAAAAAAAGTCATATAGTCTTTATTTTCTCATGACTGAGTACTTTAATTACGTCACAATCAGTGTTATGCTAGTTGTCTTTTTAAATAGCTTGCAGTTTATTCATGGCCTAAGTCTTGTTAGTTAATTTTTTTAAATTAAGAAGAATAATGAGTTTTTCTGATAATTTTTTAAGCATCACCGGTAATTGAGTTTACAAGATATAGAAGATTTTTTGTCATAAGCATACAAATCAGTTTGTTTATGTGTTTTTATTTTATTTTAAAAAGTTAAAGGAGTTATAAGCTGTAGCTTAACCTTATGTGTGTAAAATGTTGAAGCTTCACCTTGGATTTCGAAAGTTCTAAAGTAGTGGATTCAAATGTTTTATCAAAAGTATAATAAGTGGCATGATTTTTCTACAGTGTTGAGTGTTGGTATTTCATGTTGGAATCTTGAGTTGCTGGGAGGGCCCCTCATCAATTTGATGATTCCAATACTAGATACCGGTGATCAAACACCGCTTTAATTGTGTTGTCAAGTTGCAAATGCATATTTCAAAATAAGTTTTAAAGTGTGTTGATTAATTATTAAATGCGTTTAGTGATTACTCACATGACAGTGATTTTACCAAAAGTCAAATAAGAATGTATTTTTTTGTGATACATTAGTATAAGAAATCTTGTTGGCACTGAGATTTAAACGGTGTTGTACATTCTTTTTACCAAGCTTGTCCTCATATGATTGTTACCATTCGGTTACCAAAAAGATATCGAGTCTCATCTCTTAAAATCTTTAGAATGACCTACCATTAAAGTCTATATACATGATTCAAAAGTTGTTAGGATATATTTTATAGTGTTCAATTTAATTAGATTTATCTTTGTTTAGTTAGGATTTAATTAGTGGGCTAAGTATTTAATTAGGGGCCAATTAATTAGACCTATTCGGCCCATCCTATTGTAATTAGGATGCTCGGCCATATGCCTATAAATAAAGGCAGTATGGACCGAGCATGTTAGAGAGTTCCCGATTCCTAATAGCCTCACGCATCATTATTGGAGCTCTCACGTTAGATTAGAAAGAGAGAGATAGAGGGTTTCACAATTAGAATAGCCATATCATTCTCGAAACTCTCTCTCTAAAAAGACAAGTCTCTACACATTCTATTCTGAATATTATTCTCTGTAGAGCCAATAGATTAGAATTCTCTCTCTAGCCTGTTCGAGTACCATGTATTGTTCTTCATCGAATCATCATTATGAATACACGGTATAAGTTGATGTTGAATTTCTCTTCTACTGTTTAAATTCTTATCAATATTCGTAGATTATTCGACTGTTGTATCTGGCCATATCTCACACAATTGGTATCAGAGCCTCGGCGTAATTCTGTTCGTTAGAATCATTGATTTTTTCTGGAATTAATTTGATCAAAATCACAAGTTTTGGTTGAATTAATTTTGGAATTGTTCTTGATAAGTTATGTATTTTTGTGGCGGCTGCTGAAGAAGATTTCGTAGATTTCGAGTCTCAAAATTTTGGGAAATTTATTGATTTTAGAAGGCTACTACTACAAGGAAAGCTACGGAAGAAGAAACCGAGTAAGATTAAGTTACTTTTTTTCGCACATCCGAGATCTTTTTTTTTTTTTTTGATTTCGCATATCCGAAATTATTGTTTTCGGCAATTAAAAGATTTGAAGGGCATCCGAAATCTTGTTTGCATAAGCGCTTCCGAAATTTGTGTTACAAAGCAAGCACTCGAGATCACTTTTATTCGCTAGTCCGAGATCCTCCTCCAAAATAATAGCCCGAGATTGCTGGACCGACTTGATTTAAAATTCCACCTAAATCCAATTGACACACCATCACCCGAATTAGGAAATTGCGCAGCTCACCCGAGATTAGTCTTGCTCTTCACCTGGAATTCTAACTACCAAATTCCTAACTCAACCAAGATTCCCCACTATCAAATTTCTCTCCCTCCCATAATCCTACACCCCCACTCACAAAATCCCTTTTCCAAAATCTACCTACGTTGTATCTTACCCAAATTCCCCACACCCACCTCCCATAAAACCACCCCAAAAATCCCTAACCTTCGAAATCCCACCTCTCCAAACCAGCAAGTCCCGAAATCTTAATTTCGAACCCCCATCAACCATTACAATTTCGGACCTCCTTTCTTTTAAAAAGATCTTGAGTCTCTCCTTGCCTAAAATATTTTGAAACATCATCCCAGATCATCATCCGAGATCTTAACACTCGAAATCAAGCAGCGCCAAATTCTTTATCAGCTGAACAGTTCTCGCCAAAAGATCGCTCAACAGTCAAAGTTGGGCAAAGCTATTTTCTAAAGGATCCCTCTCCGACAGTCAACGATGAGTTCCAACTCCAACTCAACAATGCTCTCAAGCAACGGATCAACTACAATTTCTGACAAGTCCCAGGTAAGTACTTCTTATTCTAATCAAATAAAGAAACTTGAAGATAGACTTGCTAACAACCAAAGTGTTCTGGAAAATCTAGCGAGAGAGAAAGCTTTTGAATCTGTTCGCTTAAAAGATTCACGAGATAAAGTCACTAGTTTAGAGTCTGAAGTAGCTAAACTTAAGCAAACTGTCTGTGAATTAACCAAGGAACTGGATGAAAACAAGCAAAAACGTTCTGAAGCTGTTACCCGTTTTGAAATAATTAACAAGGAACGTTGTCGTCTTTATTCAAAAATAAAGGAGTTAGAGGATATTCTTGCTAAGAGAGGCCAATCAGAACAAACTGTTTTTCTGCTTAACAACAAACCAAAGGACACTGAATTTTACAATCCTAGAGAAGGACTTGGCTTTCAAAACCTTGAAAACTTGAAAAAGGTTGATTGCATTCAATTGTACGACATAAGGTACATGAACTTAGGGTTAACTAAGCTGATGAAATTTACTAGTGCTTCTGAAACAATTGAGGCGGAAGAGGAGAAAAGGAAAAATAGGGCTAAAGCTGAAATTAGTTTCGATTATACTGCTCTTAATGACAGCTATGCTACTAGACAAATTCCTCTTTCTGATGACTATGTTGCCCTCTCTCCTCCTGAAAATCAAACTGTTTCCAATGGGGAAGAAGCCTCCACTTCAAAGGTTTTTGAACCATATTTTCCTGCGATTATAAAGAAAATGGCCGATCTCCATTCTTCTTTTGAAGAAGAACGAGAAAAGTTTAAATCTGAAAAGGAAAATCTTTTGAAGAAAATTTCAGATTTAACTGATCAATCCTCTCAAGTCTCAAAAACTCCTGATAATTCCCTTTTCGAAAAGAACAAAAAGAAAAATCATTTTTCAAGAAAAAAGGACTTTACCTCATCTCCTTCTCAACCAGCTTCTACAGAAAACGGCTCATCCTCATCCTCTCATTTTGAAACCAGCGCCTGAAAAGGATTCTAGTGAGCGTTGAGAGCTCATCTCTCCCGATTTGGTGACCAACGGTCATCTTCTTGGCTCTCTCACGCAAATCCTCCGCCTACCACCGCAAATCCGCCACCTCCACCACCACTTCTTGTTGCTGGGCCTGTTTTATCTTCCTTATTACTCTTTCCTTCCTTAGGAGTTAGTAATTCGAAAGATATCAGCTCTATCAACGCAAACCAGTTCGTAACTTCACTATTCATCGCAAAAGGTCAACGCACGTATCTACAAATCTACTTGGTCGATTTTGATTTTGAGCACGGTTCTAGCTTCGCCTTGGTGAGGGGATTAACTTTCTCAACTTTGTTTCATCATCAACGAAGGCCGTACAACTACATACTGTTCATAGCCGACTCCATTGGTACGGACTCTTAGCTCAAACAAGCTTCAAAGACTTCCGTTTTTGAAGGGGTTGCTGTTTTTAGCTACCCCTTCCATGGTTTGGACTTCAGCTAGATTTCATTGCAACCAACACCATGCCTAAGTCCACGGCCAAGAAGAAGGAGGTCCAACCTCCAACGAAGTACTCTTCAAGGCTAAAAGCAAAAGCAAAGGACAAGGAATTGGAGGATGCACTCTCGGCAATGGAGCAAATGAGTGATTCGGATTTTGAGGGGAGCCTTCATGCGAGTGATTCCGAAGGGTCCTCCAAGCAACCTCAACCTCAAATAGCGGTCCAACCTCCTGAACCTGAGGTAAATTCTCTACCACCTCTTAAACAGGACATTGGCTTGAAAGAACCCAACAAAGAAATGGTGGAAAAAGACCAAAATGTGGGTAATTTGGATGAGACTTTGAATGGGGATGCTAGTGTTGCTGTTTTGGATGTTGTGTTGGTTAACCGTGAGCCTACAATTGTACCTCAAACTCAGGTGGATGGAGACATAAATGACCTATATGTGGCTGCCCTCGGTAAAACAGTCCCTTTGAACAAAACCGAAACCACTATGCCTAAACCTTTTGCATCTCTTTTCAAAGATAATAGAGAACCCTCAAAAGGTATGAAGCTTAGATTTATTGAACCAGTTGGGGACTTTGTGGACTTACATCAAAGGATCATGCCATCAATTGAAGAGATTTGGGGGCATTGCCTAGTTGGGTACTTCGCGGGAAGATACCCCGGTTTCAAACCAATACAAGAACTTGTAGCTAAATGGGGAGTTCCATGCAAAGTTAGAACACATGATAGAGGTTGGGTGATATTCAAGTTCCAAGGGGAAGAGGATAGATCTAAGGTCCTCATGGAAGGGCCATATACACTATTTGGCAAATCCCTATATCTCAAATCACTTTCGGAGGACTTCTCCTTTGAAAGTGAGGAATTCCTCAAAGTTCCAATTTGGGTCAAATTCCCCAATCTACCTATGCAAATTTGGAATGAGGATGTCATTAGTGAGATAGCTTCAAGGGTAGGAGTGCCTCTCACAACGGATAGAGTAACACAAGAACGAGCCATATCTCGGTATGCTAGAGTTGTGATTGAGGTAGATGCCTCTAAGCCCCCCCCCCCCCCTCTTACACTAAAGGTGCGGCTGCCTAATGGAAGGTTTCACTTTCAAAAGCTCATCTATGAAACCTTCCCGAATTATTGCTTCCATTGCAAAGGGTATGGCCATCATGCATTTACATGCAAAGTAATAGCCGAGAATGAAAAGAGAGAAAGGGAAGAAAAGGAGGCACAAGAAATGAACAAGAGAGGGTTAACTAAAGAAGATAAGGGCAAAGGGAAGGTGGTAGCACCCACCAATGCCGCGGCACAAGGGAGAAACAAAGGGGAGACTAGCAACGCCGCGGCAAAAGAAGGGGACAAAGGGGACAACACTAATGTCGCGACATTAGACAAGCCCTACGTCCCAAAGGAGGAGCACCCTTTTATAAAGGCAGCCCGGTTGAAGAAGAAAAAGAGGAAACCAAAAAAGAAACAAAATACAAAGGAGGATGGAGAAGTATCCTCGGGGTATGAAACATTAAAAGAGCAAGAGGATGAGGAGGTAGAACCAAGAAAGATTAATAGTTTTAAAGATTTCTTTGATGATGAAGTCATCATAGAAATGGAGGTTGATGAATTTGGTGAACCTACCATTAAAGTGGCACACCTAGATGAGGTTACCGAGCCCATAACCAGATTGAACCACCTACTACAAGTGGTGGAAGCTACTGAACCAGGGGTGTACTTCACCAAAAAGTGCTTAGAACAACTCCCGGGAGTGAAAAAGAGGAAGAAAGATTATGTCTACACATCTATGTTCATGAGATGTGTGTATAGACACTATCTTTATAGATATTTTGAAGATGGGCATATCATGGGAAATGGAAGTAAAGTGAAAGATTTGAGGAATTTCAAAAGAAAATCAATCCGGGTAGTAAGAGACATCAAGGAGGCATACTTGGATGATGTCATCACAAAAATTGAATTCCAAGAGGGGGCAAAGCCGAAGATCCATTTGATGCATTGTGATGATGTGGAGGTGATGATGACTAGGCTGGATAACTATTTGGATGAAGAGGAGAGCTTAGCACGCAAAGGGATAACTTTCACCGTGGATTGTCTAAAGTCCCTTCCCGGAGTTACTCAAACGGACCAAGGGTATGAATTCTCCTCTACTTTTATTACTAATGTTTATGATCTTTTCCTTGCAAGGTATAGGGGTTGTGAAGAGTACCGTGAGTGGAAGAGAAGGCAATGGGAGGTGGCTAGGCCGAACAAGAGGAAAGGAAGGAAAAACTAGATTGTTTTTATGATTATTACATCATGGAATGTAAGGGGGCTGAATCAAGCCTCAAAACAAACCAATATAATAAATTTCATAAGGGTTAATAAGGTACGTATTATTTGTCTTCTTGAAACCAAAATGTCTTTAACTAGTTTTGCTAATTTTATGAAATTTAGATTGTCAAATTGGATGTATGTTACAAGCTTTGATAAGATTGGGGGGGGGGGGGGGGGGGGGGGAATTGCTATCTTGTGGGATCCTTGTTATGTGGAAGAGGATATTTTGGAAATTGATACCCAACATGTGCATGCTAGATTTAGGTGTAAAATTACGCAAGTTAATTTCTATGCCTCTTTTGTGTATGCTTTGTATACGGTTATGGAGAGAAGGGTTCTTTGAGATCATTTGATTAGACTTAACACAAATATTCTTGGACCTTGGGCTGTTTTAGGGGATTTTAATTGTGTAGGTGCCCCTCATGAAAGAAGAGGATCTTCTCCTCCCACGGGTTACTTAATGAAGGATTTAAATGAGATGAAACTCCAAACTAATCTAGATGATGCCCCTTCTACGGGTGAATTTTTCACTTGGAGTAGAGGTGCCATTTGGGCTAAGTTGGATAGGATTCTTATTAACCCTTTGTGGAGTGCTCATGGGATTACTTGTGGAGCCCATTTTTTTGAAATGGAATGTGATTTTGACCATGTGGCTTCCCTACTATGTATCGGAAACACAACCAAAAATGGTTCTAAACCGTTTAAGTTCTTTAACATGTGGCTGAAACATGAAAGTTTTGGTGGAATTTTAGAGGATGTTTGGAATAGGAATGTTGGGGGTACGGCTCAATTTCGATTAGCACGTAAACTCAAACTCCTAAAACAGCCCCTAAAACAACTAAATACAAATGAATTCAGCCACATCTCGGCAAGAGCAAAGGAATCTAAAAAGGAGTATCAAAGAGTTTATCAATTAGCTCTTTTAGATCCCCTTGATGATGCTCTAAAGGAGAATTTAAATGTGGCTAAGAAAAGAGCTTTATTTCTCAAAGAGGCCGAGGAAGCCTATCTCAAACAAAAGGCCAAGGCTATTCACATTTTGCAATCGGATAGATGTACAAAGTATTTCCACTCAATTGTTAAAAAGAGGCAAGCCAAAAATGCAATTGCACCTATTCGGTTACAAGATGGGTCTCTCACCCAGTCCATGGACCAGGTTGCAAAGGAGTTTATTGTATTTTTCAAAAATCTTTTTGGCACGGAGGTACCTTCTTTTGACTTTGATACAAACATTATGGCTTCGGGTAAAACCATTGACCAATCTGCTTTTGACAACCTGATTAGACCTGTGTCTGATTTGGAAATCAAAGAAGCTCTATTTGATATTGGAAATGAAAAAGCCCCGGGACCGGATGGATACTCATCAGCTTTTTTCAAATCCAATTGGGGAAAGGTTGGTGAGGATGTGTGTGCTGCCGTTAAGGAGTTTTTTGAGTCCGGGAATATGCTCAAACAGGTTAACCACACCATTGTAGCTCTTATTCCCAAAACCTCTCATTCTCCTTCGGTTTCTGATTTTAGACCCATTTCATGTACAAATGTGACTTATAAGATTATTACCAAGATTTTAGCATCAAGACTTGGCCCTTGTCTTTCTAGTGTAGTTGATCCATCACAGGGTGCTTTTGTGGATGGTAGACAAATGACTGATAACATTTTCCTTGCTCAAGAACTGGTAAGGGGATACACTAGAAAGAGGGTCTCTCCGAGATGCATGATTAAGGTTGATATTAGAAAAGCATATGATACTATTTCTTGGACTTTCTTGGAAAAGGTTTTAAAGGGAATTGGGCTGCCCAACATTTTTGTAAATTGGATCATGGAGTGTGTGACTACCTCTTCTTTTTCGATATCCATAAATGGAAACTTACATGGTTGGTTTGAGGGAAAAAGAGGTTTGAGACAAGGAGACCCAATGTCTCCCATGCTATTTGTGTTATGTTTGGAATACTTGTCTAGGATGTTAGCTATTAGGACTTCAAATCCTAATTTTAACTATCATCCCTTATGCTCCAAACTAAAGATCTCACACTTAGCCTATGCCGATGACTTAATGCTATTTTCAAAAGGGGAGCTCAAGTCTATTAAGATTCTAGTTGATGCTTTAAATGACTTTGGAAGGGTCTCGGGTTTACTAGTAAATCAAGACAAATCTAATATTTTTGTGGGGGGAAACATTGCACAAAAACTGCCATCTATATTACAATTGGTGGACTTTCAACAATGATCCTTTCCGGTAAGGTATCTTGGTATTCCATTGGCTCCTCTAAAGATCTCTGTTGCCCAATTCTCTCCTTTGATTGATACGGTCACAGACTATTTTAATGCATGGAATACAAAGTCCTTATCTTATGCTGGGAAAGTTGAGTTGATAAAGTCGGTTGTCCAAGGGGTGCAGTCATTTTGGCTAGGCATATTTCCTGTTCCCAAAACCATTTTGGACAGAATTGTGAGTTTATGTAGAATATTTTTGTGGGGGGGTAAACATGCTAAAGTGGCATGGGAAGATGTATGTTTACCAAAAGAGGAAGGGGGTTAGGAATTAGAGATACAAAGGTTTGGAATAATGCATTACTGTCTCGTACACTTTGAAATATACATGAAAAACAGGACACACTTTGGGTAAGATGGGTAAATGGAGTTTATCTTCATGGGAGAGATGTGTGGACTTTTGTTCCACACAATAGGGACTCTCAATTGATGAAGAGAATTGCTTTGATCCGAGACTCCATGGTATCTAAATACCCTTCTATACCCGAGACCATTATCAACCTTGGAAAGATGGCTCACAATGGTAAGTTTTCTTCTTCAAAGGTATATGACCTTCTTAGGATGAAAGGGACTACCCATGCATGGATGTCTTTCATTTGGAAAGCCTATATCCCACCCAAGTTTTCTTTCATTATGTGGCTAGCCTATCGTAATAGGCTACCTACATATGATAATATGGTTTATCTTGATATTGTTAATGTCTGTCCATTTTGTAAGGGTGGTCCGGAGACGGTACCACACCTATTTTTTGAATGTGTTTGTACAGGGCAGATTTGGGAGAGTATCAAAGGATGGCTTGGAATCTCTAGGCAAATGTCTTCGTTGAGGAGTGCGGTGAAGTGGATTTCAAGAGACTGCAAAGGAGCACATATTAGAGCAAAGGCTACAGGGATAGCGTTCAGCTATACAATCTATTGGATATGGAGGACTAGAAATGCGATTCGATTTGATGGAGCATCGCTAAAGCTGGATGATACAATTGCACATATCAAGTATATGGTGTACAAAGTGCTATTCTCGCTATATCCGTATCATATGATACCGTTTTGAATTATAAACTAGCCTATTTTTTGTCATGAGGTGATGGCTATTATTTTGCTAGATGAGAGTAGTTAGAGGATAAGCTCTACAGCTTTTGAAGTTATAGGGTATCCATGCTTGGATATGCCTCAAATTTTGCTCATACGATGTACATAAACTTGGTTACTATCTATATATTTACATTTTCCCAAAAAAAAAGAAAAACCGAATGGTAATGTTCTTAATAAACGCCAAGAGAAGAGGATGGCCTGGATTTTCAAACAAACTCAAAAGGAGGCTGCAAGACTCAAAATGTTTTCTGAAAATACAAAATCTCTTTTTACCAAGTCTTGTAGTAATTTCAAAGCTTCTTGCTCAAATTCTAGCATCCAGTCACCTAGTTCTGACATAGACAAGTCTTCTAAGTCTTCTACTGATGGTTCTAATCATGTGAAAACTCATTCTAGTGCTTCTGTTAATGCAACTAGGCAGTCTAAGTCTTCAAGTCATGTTTGTGATGTGAGGGATGGGAAATCCAAACAGAAAAGATTTAAAGCTTCTACCTATGATGTTTGTGATGATGTTCAACTGAAATATCCCCTCAAGGTTTATTCAGTCAAACATTTGAAACGTCTATCAAGGGAGAAAATCTTTACTTCTCAAAATCATATCCCATCATTGACCTGCGCTGAAACTGTTATTGTTCAAAAATGGATTCCTAAATCAGAATTACAGTCATATAGCTCTCCAAAAGATTCAAAAGAGACTGGTTTAGGAACAAAAATCAAGAAAAAATTTCATAATTTGTGTTATGCGAGAAAGGACGGACCCATCCTTAAATGGGTACCAAAGGTGTAATACCCGAGATTAATTTAAGAGGATTAATAGTACTACTCATACCAACAGAGGTGCATCTCCTTTTAAGGGAGCTCATCACCCAAGAACTCCAAAGTTAAGCGTGCTTGCACGGGAGTAGTCTTGGGATGGGTGACCCCCTGGGAAGTTTCTCAGGGCGCGCATGAGTGAGGACAAAGTGCGCGGTAAAGGCTCGTGGTGGTTTGTGGGGACAGTACTAGAGGTCTAGAGTAACTACCTCGGGTCCGTGTGGGGCCCCGGGGTGTTAAAGGTGGTATCAGAGCAACCCTGCGACAGTGTGTTGACCCGTTGGATATCGGGCAGGGCACTTAGCGGGGCAAGATTCTGGGGTTCGATTGAGATTGTTAAGGGTGCAACGAGGACGTTGCGATCCTAAGTGGGGGTGATTGTAATACCCGAGATTAATTTAAGAGGATTAATAGTACTACTCATACCAACAGAGGTGCATCTCCTTTTAAGGGAGCTCATCACCCAAGAACTCCAAAGTTAAGCGTGCTTGCACGGGAGTAGTCTTGGGATGGGTGACCCCCTGGGAAGTTTCTCAGGGCGCGCATGAGTGAGGACAAAGTGCGCGGTAAAGGCTCGTGGTGGTTTGTGGGGACAGTACTAGAGGTCTAGAGTAACTACCTCGGGTCCGTGTGGGGCCCCGGGGTGTTACAAAAGGTTTCTTAATTCTTTTGCAAGTGTCCCTCATGTGTGGTACCTGATATGTTTGCTCCACACACATGATGGGATATTAAGCTGCTGAGCAACAACAACCAAATGGCTTCTTAGTAACTCAGCTCAGAACCCGCTATACATCTTGGCTTCTGAGTAGCTCAGCTCAGAACCCGCTATACATCTTGGCTTCTGAGTAACTCAGCTCAGAACCCGCACTACAATAGA